TGATTTCCAAACTTCTTTTGGATCACCCTCGAGTGTATGAATTATGTTTTCAATCCTCAATTTGAAAGCTTGGAATTCTTGCTTGAATGATGGCTTCGAGGTGTATGTTGGTGAAAAGTGATTATCTCTCTTGTTTTTGTTCACTTTTACTAACACCCACTCTTTCTCTTGATCAAAGCTACTGAATTCAAGTATTTTCAGAATTTTTGGAGAGTTTTGGTGTAGAAAAGATGGAATTTCAGTTTGTATGTGTAGACACTCCATTTTTGACCGCCCTTAAGACTTGGGCGCTACTAATTGTTTACTTGGTGATAAAAGATGTGCAGTGCAAATGATCAATTTCTTTGGCAAGAAAATAGTCAAATCCCAAACTTCATACCCCTTTTTGGACCAAAATGATCTTGATCAAAATATTTTAGACTTTGAAGCTCTCTCTTTCAAAATGGTTTTTGAAAAGTTCCCACGATGTTCCGACGCTCACATTTTGTTAAATGTCGTGCTTTTCGGTAAACCGAGCAGGACAAAGTGGAATTAATGAAAGAGAGGTGACTCTTTGAAAATCTTCTAAACATCTTGTTTAGGGATTTGGAGTTGACTAAAAGGAAGAGGAGAGAAGAAACCAAGTTGGAGAAAAGTTTGGCATGAATCCCGGCAGGATCGAAATTGAGCAGTCTTCACTCAAACAAAGAAGAATTTTTTTCACACTTGGAATTTTTGATGTGAGGCTTCCACCATTGGAAACAAGACTTCAAGGGCTTCAATTTAGGCTCAAGAATGACCTAAAAAGGTATCCAGATGATGGAGATATGTCGGGTTGAAGTCGAGCCTAAAAACAAATTTTTCTGTCCAACCAGAGGTGGAGAATGTGGGCCATAAATGGGATTTTTGGGCCATGTGCCGGCCATGAATGGCCAAGGCCGGCCCCTACATCCGTTTGGGAACAGAGTATCCTTGGTCTTTTAAATGTACTTTTGTTCATGGTCCAGGAGTGTGTGCCCCATATATATCCCCTCTGTTCCAACTCGCACAACCCCCTTCTTGTATGTAAAGAGGTCGGGTCGAACTAGTGCCACAAAACTGACTGGGTCATGGAGGAAAATCCCTACATTTGTTAACTTCAATTTGTTATTTTGATTAATGTTTATAACTGACTACGTTGATTAACAATCAAAACAGCACAACTTTAATATTGTCCAATTTATGAACAGAAGTTACCATAGACTCCAAGAGACTCAACATGCCAATCTCTGTAACATTTGCACATAGTGCTTAACAATTGAGCATGTCTTCCCTCAGACTGCCTCAATTCATCAAGGTCAGCATCTGAAACCGCAAGATATCTTTGATTTAGGGGAGAAATAGATTCGTTAAAGCATGACACAAAACAAAAACTCTAACAAAGAAAACTAAAAAGGCGAAGCAGGACCTGTCATTATGACTTGTCTTGTAATGTTTATGCCAGTAATAACAATATTTGCCCCAGATGTAAACACAACATCTGCTGCTTCTGGATCCCCATAGATCTGCAAGTCAATAAACAAATGTATATTTTCTCTGCATTAAGCTGAAGTTGAATTTGATTGACCGAAAACTAGAACTCCCTCGCTCGAGTTGCTTAGTGCAAAAATAAAAAAATCCCTAGAAAAGACAGATAGTGTGAAACTGACCCTGAAAACTAACACTAGTGGTTATATACACGTGCTGCTATGGCAACATCAGCTGCCAAGCCTGCAGCAGTTGTCTTAAAACGAACTTACTTAATAAGGCAAGCAAGATGCCCAAAGTCTTCCCTTTTTTTCACTCTTCTTTTGTTTTTCAACTTTTATATTTTATTTTATTGTTTGTACTTTGAAAATGAGTTCCACTGAAATAGAATTCCCTGTTTGGTTTTTGCTTAAAAAACTGCTTTTCTGCTATTTAAGCAAAAAAATAAAAATTGGTTGTTTGGTTTTAGCTGATTTAGGTGACACAGGAAAAAAGGCACTTCTTTAACAAAGCCCACCCTGTTCACCTAGTGCTAATCAAGACTTTTTTTTTAGAACTCATCTTCAGTGATTTTTTAAAAATTTTACTTTATAGGTCATTCTAGTCTTGAAGAATCTAAAAACTAAAACAAAAGAAAAAACACAAAAACTTTACTAAGACGAATAAAAAAATTCCAAATCCCACTTGAGCTTTCCCAATAGCTAAAAACAATTTTTTTAACATTTGTCAAATGCATCAGTTCTTTTAGTAACAACTTTGTCCATAAAAAGTAAAAAAGCAAAAAAGCTACTAAAAAGCATTGGCCAAACCACCCCTAAAGGCTAAAGCTTCATATACTTCCAAATCTCAAAAGATTTAATACATCTACAATAGAATTGTTTGACAGTAAGAAATGTTCTGGTTCGTAGTGTATGTAACAGATTATAAGGGAATGTAGTAGTATGTTGATCACTACTTACATTTGCTTCAGCAGCAGGATTGACATTTCCCAATGCAAAGAAAGATCCACCAAGGATGACAACTTTTTTCACCTTGCTTGCAAAGGATGAGTCCCTTTTAACAGCCTGATCAAAAATTCAAATAAATAAATCCTTATTGAGTACATCAGTGTCAAGGGCAAACGAGAGAAGATTGAAAATGTGATACTCGTGACAGTGAATGGGAGGGAGGAAAAAATGCTAAAATTTACCTTAGCCAAATTTGTCAACGGCCCCAGTGCAAGTATGGAAACTTCACCAGGATATTCAGAAACCATATCCACCAAAAATTCTGATGCCGTCTTCTCAATTTTCTTGGATTTTGGAGGAGGTAAATTTGTGTTCCCCAATCCATTTGCACCATGAACAAAGTCTGCAACAAGTGGTTTTCCCCCCTGTTCCAAAGCAGATTACATGCTAAGCATAATACAATATAGTTACCAGAATAAGAGAAATGGAAGCTGGAAAACGATCAAGAATCAAATGAAAAATCTAATAAAAATCTTGGTAAGAAACTTTTGCAAAACAGAAAGAAATAAACCAATTAAGTTAGTAGTATAAATCTTTGTTAAATACTAATCTGGTAAGTAGCGAGTTATAAATTAAACTTTAATAAAGATATAACTATTGAGTAAAAACCTATAGATCTAAATTTTTTAGTTAGATAAAACAACATCCAATTAGTACACATTAATATCTAATGAAATGTTTCCAGAGTCTGTCAAATGTGTATGCCATACAGTGCTCCCATTAAGATATTACATAACTAACCAATTATATGCCACCAACATAAGATGTATGAATTTAAAAATAAATTAAAATAAAATGACAGGCCAAGCTAGTGTATTGAAATATAGAAAACCCCCATTTGCATCCTTCATATACTGGTTATAGTCCCATCACGGAATGATTAATGTCAAATCCATGCATTTCAAATCCCTAAATACAAAAGCAACCTAAGATTACCATGGACTCCGTCAGATGCAACATGCCAATCTCTGTAGAATTTGCACATTTTGCTGATTAATTGAACGTGTCTTCCCTGAGACAGCCTCAATTCATCAAGGTCAGCATCTGAAACCGCAAGATAGCTTTAATTTAGCGGAGAAATAGATTCGTTAAAGCACGATACAAAACAAAAACTCTAACAAAGAAAACTAAAAAGGCGAAGCAGGACCTGTCATTATGACTTGTCTTGTAATGTTTATGCCAGTAATAACAATATTTGCCCCAGATGTAAACACAATATCAGCTGCTTCTGGGTCCCCATAAATCTGCAAGTCGGAAAAGGCAAGTGGTGTAATTTGACAGAATGAGAACTTAAACTAGCTTCCATATGGTCAGTCCAAGCTGAGAGGGATCAAAGGACTGATAAGCATCTCAAATGTGCCTAAGTCCTAAGACTTCATCTTTAGCAAGCCTCCCCAACCTGACATCCCTTGTAGTTAGGAATCATTACATGGACACTTCTGCGTGTATGAAGTACATTTGTCGGACACTGACACTCATGGGTAAGGATATGAGGTGTGTCTGGCATGTTTAGTTAAACATTCACCAAACAGATATATTTAGTAATTCACATTTATTGTGAAACAAAGTATAAAGTGCCCACATTATGCATGAATGCTATAAATGCACCTTGTAAACACCATTTACTCAAGAAAATAAAACAAGTATAAAGAGAAATAGAAATATGTTGTCATGTCCCCATATCCTTCGACATAATAATTAGATGAGGACATGAAGACACATATCCACATGGCAAGCAACAACTACACCATAGTCCATGTAACATAGCAACAGAACTCATACTTCACATGTCTGAACTGCACGAGCTACTACTCCAAGGAGTATACAATGCCCGCTCAAGTGCCTAAGCCAGTAGGCAAGGTTCAGGCATGCCAAAGTGTTCAATGTTCATCACAAGACTCTGGGGGGTCTTGTGACTTAGAGGCTAAAGATGGGCGTTCTGCCTTAGCACTATGCACTCACAAGCAAAGCTGACTTAGGCATTCTGTCAAGAGAGAGAGACCACATCACAAAAAACTATGTATGGGACCTCGGTAATTGAGATTTGGACAAATCCTAATAATTAAATATATTTCTACCAAATCCTAACAGAATTCTAGGAAATCTTGATAGTTAATTATGGTCACATGCCTAACCTTCTATAAATAGAAGTACATTTTGCAACATAAGCTTCCCCTGCGTCACACCCTTTCAAAGATCTCTCTCTCTCTCTCTCTCTGTGATATGGATGGACGACCGTGTCTCTTCCCCAGATGTCCTCTAAGTCCTTGGTGTCTGATGTGTTTTGCCACTCTCTAATGAACCTTTGACCTCTAGTCAGCCTCTTCACTTTTGTTTTGACTAGCAGCCAACTGATTTATTTACAACAGATGGAGGGGGTTCTTTATGCTTGTCATTTAAGAAAATTTGATCTTTGGGCAGTTCTGATATGGAAAATTTGGAATCACAAAAATCAGGTGCATCACCCGTGACCAAATGCAAGACCCAAAGATGATTTTTTATCGGCAACTGATTATTTACAAGAGTAAGTGAGTGGAGATCAGACCAAATTCTTAATTCCAGCTGAGCACTTACATTTGCTTCAGCAGCAGGATTGACATTTCCCAATGCAAAGAAAGATCCGCCAAGGATGACCACTCTTTTCACCTTGCTTGCAAAGGATGAGTCCTTTTTGACAGCCTGATCAAAACAAAATGCATCTTTAAGATTGATAAAACTTGGAAATAAATGTGATATGCACCACAGTGAACGGAAGGGAAGGATACTAAAACTTACCAAAGCCAAATTTGTCAATGGTCCAAGTGCCAGTATAGATACTTGGCCAGGATATTCAGAAACCATATCCACTAAAAATTCTGATGCAGTCTTCTCAATTTTCTTGGATTTTGGAGGAGGTAAATTTGTGTTCCCTAATCCATCTGAACCGTGAATGAAGTATGCAACATCTGGTGTTCCACCCTGTTTCAAAATACGTTCAATGCACATGTAGCCTGTGTTTTGATATAGTGCAACTGTGCAGAAAAATATAGATATAACTCATAAAAGAAGTTACCTTTAGAGGCTCAGGGCTACCCTCTGCCACAGGAACATCAGGATATCCTGCAATCTCACCCTATCCATTTGCACATCAAAAATAATCATGAAAATGTTCCAAAAACATCAAAGACCACAAATTATGGAAAAAAATATATTTACTGTATAGGAAATTAGAATTAGAATCGACTAATTAATACATACAAGGATCAAAGCATTGCAAGTGGCATCTTCTGTAGTAACATTACCAAATATTGTTGTTAAACCTAAGACCTCCAGCTGTGGAGTTTGGAATGCCATGAAGATCGCGACGCTATCATCTGTGTAGATCAATGAAGATTCCATTCACATCTCACACATGACAATTAAGTAATTTTTTCCCCTTCTTTTTGTCACTATGAAATAGGAATCTTATTACATTATGAAAGAGAGAATGTGAGCACTACCAAGGATAATGGCACAGCAAGAAATGCTATATAAACAAACAAACAAAATTTACAAACTGATGTGAGATTTTATTATATGCCTTCTCTTCAAAACATAAATTGATGTGAAACATAATTACAATAATGCTATACAAACATAAAATATATATGGTAATTGGATAGAGAACAATATGATTGAATTTGAATCTATGATTTTAAGACAGAATCCAAACACATGGTGTTTATTTTCAAGACTGTCACAACCATGTAATTGTGATAAATTTTGTATAAAAGTAATTAAGATGCCACCTCAATTTGTTGTCAAGAAGAGTCACACATTTATTTATAAAAAACTTGTTCAGAGAAAAGAAAAACAAGATTACCTAAAGGAGAGTTCACTCCATTTTTTTTTCTTTTTGAACTGGATCAGAGAGGGACTCTGTATTATCCGGTTGCTGCCCACGTCTTCTCCCTTTACCCAAGGTGTGCAAGGATGTTTTATTGACATGGTTATCTGTAACTAGGTTTCCTATACCATTAGGAAAACTGCTTGGGAAGACTTGTGCCTGGGTATACCTTTGGTTTTCTCTCTAAACAAAAACCTAGAATCCCACTTAGAGTGAAAGACTAGAAAATCCAAAGTTCAACTAGGAGAGAGGTTGACAGCCGTGGAAGGGAAAAAGCTTGCCGCCGACGAGCTCCGAGAAGGCACGAAGAGAGAAGAGAGGCGAGAAGAAAGAGAATTACCTGCGAAGCGTAGAGGTTGCCGTCGGCAAGCCGTAAGGGTGGTCCTAGGTCTGCCGCTGGGGTTGGTCGTCTATATTGCCAATGTTTGAAATCGATTTTTAAAAGGTTCTGCGAACACAGTGTTTAGCCAAAGGAAGTGGGTTTGGATCTTGATCGAAGATTCTGCGCAGAAGTGAAGGAGTGTGAGCTGACATTAAAGGAAGGCTAGGGTTTTGATTTCTTTGCTAAAGGATTTTGGGGGTTAGTTGCTGTCGTCGATTCTTGAGGGAAGGGGCAAAATCTGGATAATTGACAGGCGATAGAGAAGGTGAGAAGCGAGGAGGGTGAGTTGGGAAGTGGCGAGCCACAGTTGCGAGTTGGGTGAGGAGGACCTGGTGCGTTGGAAGCTAAACAACAATCTGGGTATCGTCTTCTTGGAGTTGTCTTCCGTGAGGTATGCTTCGAATCTCCCATAGACTGGCTATGCATGTGTTTATTTATTCGCTATATAATATATATATATGTTTTGTCTGTTTTGTGATGAAACAAAGAAAAAGAAAAGGGGGCAGACTATAAAATAAAATAAAATAAATAACGAGATAAGTAAAAAATGGAGGACTGCCTTTTGGAGAGTTGAATAATAATAAAACTGTATTATTTTGGTAAAGAGGCAAGGGTTCGAGAATTATTTTTTTTTATTATTATTATTTTGATACATATTGGAGAAATAGTCGGGAAATAAAAAAAAAAAGAAAAATAAATAAAATATTAGACCAAGATATTACGAAGTTACAAAAGTGGAGTTCCACGCTTCGAATATTAGGGAGTTATGAGATTGGAGATTTCGAATAAAATATTAGAATTGGGGGAGCTATGGAATTGGTGAGCCGTAAAAATATTAGGAGAGCTATGATTTTTGAGAGTTTGAAAAATGTTAGAGAGTTGAAAAAAAAAAAGAAGACCACTAAAATTAATAATAAAATATTAATGAGCTAAGAAATTGGTGAGCTATGAAAATAATAATAAAATATTACTGAGCTATGAGAATGGTGAACTAACACATGAAGAGTTATGGAATTGGAGAACTCTAACAAAAAATTAATAAAATATGGGTGAGCCATGAAATTAGTGAGCTAGAAACATAACAATAAAATATTAGTGATCTATGAAAATGGTGAGTTAACCCATTGAGAGTTATGGAATTGGAGAACTCTAACAAAAATTAATAAAATATTGGTGAGTCATGAAATTGGTGAGCTAAGAAAATAATAATAAAATATTAGTGATCTAGGAGAATGGTGAGCTAACCCATGGAGAGTTATGGAATTGGAGAATTCTAACAAAAATTAATAAAATATTGGTGAGCCATGAAGTTGGTGAGCTAAAATAATAATAAAATATTAGTAATCTATGAGAATGGTGAGCTAACACATGAAGAGTTATGGACTTGGAGGACTCTAACAAAAATTAATAAAATATTGGTGAGCCATGAAGTTGGTGAGCTAAGAAAATAATAAAATATTAGTGATCTATGAGAATGGTGAGCTAACCCATGAAGAGTTATGGACTTGGAGAACTCTAACAAAAAAATTAATAAAATATTGGTGAACCATGAATTGGTGAGCTAAGAAAATAATAATAAAATATTAGTGATCTATGAGAATGGTGAACTAACCCATGAAGAGTTATGGAATCGGAGAACTCTAACAAAAATTAATAAAATATTAGTGAGCCATGAAATTGGTGAGCTAAGAAAATAATAATAAAATATTAGTGATCTACGAGAATGGTGAGCTAACATATGAAGAGTTATGGACTTGGAGGACTCTAACAAAAATTAATAAAATATTGGTGAGCTAAGAAAATAATAATAAAATATTAGTGATCTATGAGAATGGTGAGCTAACCCATGGAGAGTTATGGAATTGGAGAATTCTAACAAAAATTAATAAAATATTAGTGAGCTATCAAGTTGGTGAGCTAAGAAAATAATAATAATTTATGAGAATGGTGAGCTAACCCGTGAAGCGTTATGGACTTGGAGAATTCTAACCAAAAAATTAACAAAATATTAGTGAGCCATGAAGTTGGTGAGCTAAGAAAATAATAATAAAATATTAGTGATCTATGAAAATAGTGACCTAACCCGTGAAGAGTTATGGACTTGGAGAACTCTAACAAAAAAAATTAATAAAATATTGGTGAGCCATGAAGTTGGTGAGCTAAAAAAATAATAATAAAATATTAGTCATCTATGAGAATGGTGAGCTAACCCATGGAGAGTTATGGAATTGGAGAATTCTAACAAAAATTAATAAAATATTGGTGATCTATGAGAATGGTGAGCTAACACATGAAGAGTTACGGACTTGGAGGACTCTAACAAAAATTAATAAAATATTGGTGGGCCATGAAATTGGGAAGCTAAGAAAATAATAATAAAATATTAGTGATCTATGAGAATGGTGAGCTAACCCACGGAGAATTATGGAATTGGAGAATTCTAACAAAAATTAATAAAATATTAGTGAGCTATGAAGTTGGTGAGCTAAGAAAATAATAATAATCTATGACAATGGTGAGCTAACCCGTGAAGAGTTATGGACTTGAAGAATTCTAACCAAAAAATTAATAAAATATTAGTGAGCTATGAAGTTGGTGAGCTAAGAAAATAATAATAAAATATTAGTGAGAATGGTGAGCTAAACCGTGAAGAGTTATGGACTTGGAGAATTCTAACCAAAAAAATTAATAAAATATTAGTGAGCCATGAAGTTGGTGAGCTAAGAAAATAATAATAAAATATTAGTGATCTATGAAAATGGTGACCTAACCCGTGAAGAGTTATGGACTTGGAGAACTCTAAGAAAAAAAATTAATAAAATATTGGTGAGTCATGAAGTTGGTGAACTAAGAAAATAATAATAAAATATTAGTGATCTATGAGAATGGTGAGCTAACCCATGGTGAGTTATGGAATTGGAGAATTCTAACAAAAATTAATAAAATATTGGTGAGTCATGAATTGGTGAGCTAAGAAAATAATAATAAAATATTAGTGATCTATGAGAATGGTGAGCTAACCCATGAAGAGTTATGGAATTGGAGAACTCTAACAAAAAATTAATAAAATATTAGTGAGCCATGAATTGGTGAGCTAAGAAAATAATAATAAAATATTAATGATCTATGAGAATGGTGAGCTAACCCATGAAGAGTTATGGAATTGGAGAACTCTAACAAACAATTAATAAAATATTAGTGAGCCATGAAATTGGTGAGCTAAGAAAATAATAATAAAACATTAGTGATCTATGAGAATGGTGAGCTAACATATGGAGAGTTATGAAATTGGAGAATTCTAACAAAAATTAATAAAATATTGTGAGCCATGAATTGGTGAGCTAAGAAAATAATAATAAAATATTAGTGATCTGTGAGAATGGTGCGCTAACCCATGGAGAGTTATGGAATTGGAGAATTCTAACAAAAATTAATAAAATATTGGTGAGCCATGAAACTGGTGAGCTAAGAAAATAATAATAAAATATTAGTGATCTATGAGAATTGTGAGCTAACCCATGGAGAGTTATGGAATTGGAGAATTCTACAAAAATTAATAAAATATTGGTGAGCCATGAAGTTGGTGAGCTAAGAAAATAATAATAATCTATGAGAATGGTGAGCTAACCCGTGAAGATTTATGGACTTGGAGAATTCTAACCAAAAAATTAATGAAATATTAGTGAGCCATGAAGTTGGTGGGCTAAGAAAATAATAACAAAATATTAGTGATCTATGAGAATGGTGACCTAACCCGTGAAGAGTTATGGACTTGGAGAACTCTAACAAAAAAAATTAATAAAATATTGGTAAGTCATGAAGTTGGTGAGCTAAGAAAATAATAATAAAATATTAGTGATCTATGAGAATGGTGAGCTAACCCATGGAGATTTATGGAATTGGAGAATTCTAGCAAAAATTAATAAAATATTGGTGAGCCATGAATTTGTAAGCTAAGAAAACAATAATAAAATATTAGTGATCTATGAGAATGGTGAGCTAACCCATGAAGAGTTATGGAATTGGAGAACTCTAACAAAAAATTAATAAAATATTAGTGAGCCATGAAATTGGTGAGCTAAGGAAATAATAATAAA